CACTCACTCACTCACTCACTCACTCACTCACTCACTCACTCACTCACTCACTCACCCACTCATTCGCTAATTCACTTACTCAGTTACTCACTCACTCACCCGCTCATTCGTTCATTCACTCGATTAATCACTCACTCACTCTCTCACTCACTCACCTATCCCTTTGTTCTCATTCTCGTTCGTGTATTCTTTTACACCGATTATATCTCTATTTTCTCATTATATGGTCATTTCTTAGGACTAACCTTATGCTAACACACCTCCTGTCCCTCTTCGATAATTTTCTTGCCTACCTTCTTCGTATGGCTCCCTCAATCACTCATGTATTAGCTTCTTTTTATATTTCTTGATCATCCCAGCCTGACGTTTCATCAGAGCGATTTTTAATTGGATTTTGTTCTTCTGAATGCCTACACAGGTTGCAGTTTAATACAGATATTTACGCGTGTTGAGATATTCCGCAGTCGTTGTTTTTTTTTTTTTTTACTTTCTTTAAAAAAACCGAACTAGCTTCAATGTCTCCCTCCAACCAAAAAGGTCTGCACATCATTCTTTATTTTCATCGTCAAGTAACTAAACGACGAATAATCTTGTAACAAAATAATAATATAATAATATTTTTTTAAGAGCAAGAAGCCTTTATTCTTTCCTAACAATGCCCTCTTCAGAATCGAATCACACCTCTCACAATGTGTGTAATCTAACAAAAGTCACACTACCGCACAAACAACCAGGAAAAGGATCCACTCGAGGGCGGCCTGAAGAGGGCTCAGTTTCCACGTAACCTTCTCCGTTTCGCTCACGGGGGCTTGTTAGCGACCCCCCCCCTCCCAACCCCATCCCCCTACGGCCCCTCGACCTCTCCACGCGACAACGCCAGCTCACGTTCATGCTGACAGTAAACTCGACCTGTCGCAAAGCCAGTACTCATCGCACTAAGGTCTGACCTTTATTCTATTTTCCTCTGCCTCACTGGCAATAATTATTAGTATCCAGCCTTATCTCTTTTTCCTGTCAGTCTTAACATCTTTATTTGGAAATGTTTACCACCCTTAGAGACACAAACATACTGAGATTCCATGGCCTTGTGGTCAATTTGGTAGGAAGTACGCAGAAGTATTTTCAAAGTGATATTCGATAAGTACTAGGAGGTTAAATTTTGTTTTTTCTCTTGGGTCGGAGAGAGATCTTTCAGGTGCACCTATTCCTTACGTTAACACACCCTCCCCCCAACCTCTTCCCCCTCAAGAACACAGACAAATAAAAATACTCAACGCGCGCGCACGCACTCAGACAGACGCGCGCGCGTGCATACACACACACACACACACACACACACACACACACACACACACACATACACACACATTTACTCACAACATACTTACAGGCAAACACACACTTACACGCACACATTTACACACACACACGTACACACAAACAAACACTTACATACACACACACTTACACAAACACACACACACACACACACACACACACACACACACACACACACACACACACACACACACACCTAAACTGTGCAATATGGCCTATAGTAAGCATAAAACGGCCGAAAATAATCTGATAAAATTAGAACACTGAAAAATGCTTTCACATCTTTCTTTAATAGCGTCTGTTTTACTCTATCAGGCTTTTGTTTTATCATCTTCTCTCTCTCTCTCTCTCTCTCTCTCTCTCTCTCTCTCTCTCTCTCTCTCTCTCTCTCTCTCTCAGTCTCTTTCTCACTCCCCCTATCACTCCCCCCCTCTCTCTCTCTTTCTCTCTCTGTCTGTCTCTTTCTCACTCTTTCTTTATTTCTCTCCCTCCCTCCTCATGTCCCCACTCCCCAACCTCTTTCTTTGTCTCCTCACCATCAACTCCTTGCCTTTATTTATCCCTTTTTTACCTCATCATCGGCATCTGGCGCATATCTCTCCTCCTTTCTGTCTCTTCATTCTTTTGGGCTAGTTTATCACTCAACCAGCCAGAGTTAGATTATTATGTAGGCGTGACACTTGGTCCATCGGACATGAAAGAAGTAGAGAGAGAGTCGAGGGAGGGGGGGTGGGGGGGGGGTGGAGCAAACATGGTACCAAAAAAATAACATATTCTTACACGCAATATATAACCGAGCACACGTATCGTCAATGCACTGTAACAATGACTTAAGTCAGATAGTCAGTTATAGCCCGAAATAAAACTGGGCTCTGTGGCATTCTTTGTGCAATACCTAACTACTGTGTCGTATAAACGTGTAAATGCATAGAGAATTTAGCAACTTATACGCAATTACCCCCCCCCCCCCCACACACACACACATTCACACACGCATACATATATAGATAGATAGATAGATAGATAGATAGATAGATAGATAGATAGATAGATAGATAGATATATAGATAGATATATATCTATCTTGACCGACACTTTCCAAGCCTCAGAAGCATTTATTGAGAGTACCAAAAGAAAATGGAAAGAGTCACACATTGTCCCAGACGACTTTAGAGAGATGTTCAAGAATAGCAACCTGTTGTGGTATGTATGTCTGAAGGAGCAATGTGAAGAATGCAGGAGGGCAGGAGAAAGATACACAAAACCCAGTGGATGAAACCATATTATGTCGAGTGTGCATGGACTTGGAAGTGGGTTTGTAAGTATGGCTTTGAACGCATCTGCTGAACTATATTATCACAACAGGACCAAATTAGCTGTCTATTGTTTTAAAATTGGGTAACAAAAGCTGTGAAGTGTCACGCTTGGAACGAAGGAGAAGGGTCATTGATTGCCTATGAATTCTCTTCTTGTGCCAGTCAGTAACTTCCTGGATGAGTCTACTGACAATAAATATGCGACGTTTACTTATACAGTGATGGCTGTACTTATCAGACCACAACGCTATCTTGTCAAATGCAATCAGCGACATTTGTACTAGATAGAACAAAACTGTTGAACTCAGATACCGGTAGATAGATAGATAGATAGATAGATAGATAGATAGATAGATAGATAGATAGATAGATAGATAGATAGATAAATAGATAGATAGATAGATAGATAGATAGATAGATAGATAGATATAGATAGATAGATAGATAGATAGATAGATAGATAGGTATAGACATAAATATAGATATAGATTCATAATATAGATATAGATAAAGATATAGGTATATATATATATATATATATATATATATATATATATATATATATGTAGATATAGTTAGGTATATAGATAGATATACAGATATACAGGGGCGTACAAAAGAAACTTGAAAATCCATTCATTCATTTATCATATTATTGTCTTGTAGCCTACCACCCATCCATGCAAAATACCAATTTAAATCTTAATAAATTCTACATCATATGATACATCAATGCTACATCCGGAAAAAGAGTTGCTCAAGATACGCTCTTTCAAAATTTATCTTTAAAGATTACCCTAGGCAAAATTGTGTGAAATCAGAAAATTTTCAAAGTGTGCTTGCGCTTTTATCAGAGCACATAATTATTATTATGTATCTCTGGTAGATTGACCAATGATTTATTAAGACACGGTGTAGCTTTAAACATATCTGAAAACAGTGCAGTCACGTAAGTCACTCATAACTTTGACATTGAACGTGTCCATTAGTAGTTTTAGGAGCCATTGGCTAAATGTACAGCATAAAACCTTTTTTGTGCAAGAACTATTTTAGATTTTGGACATAACTCCGTATCATTTTCTCCCAAATGTCCCTGAAAGTTTCAAACAAAGTGTCTGATTTGGGAGCAAGTTCATTTTTTTTCAACCACTTCAATGAGGTTCTACACGTTTTCTATAGGACTCGTACCGGGACTAATCTACCGGTGTTTTCTGGTTTACAAGAATTGCGTGGTGGCATTGGTCTGCGTGAGATGCGTTGCCACGCATGCAGATGTCTGCTGAATGACAATGCGATGAGATAACGTTATGGCGCGACCCTCCAGCCACTTGCATGAAGTAGCCCTCCGCACGAATCCTTCCGTTCATTCTCACTGGTTGGACTTTGGACATTCCAATCAGACAACCCCATATCACGACAGTTCCACAGCCTCTGTTCCTCGCTGAGATGATAATGTTCAAAATCTAACACTTCGTATGCAAAAATGGATCATGCTTTACACGAAACCAATGGCTCCGATTTTAAAAAAATCATTAACTGTAAACATTTATTAATATGAAGTTCAGTTTTTATTTGGGGGGGAGGGGGGGGGTCTGGTCAGCTGGTATCCCTTCATCTTTTCATGTGTCCTATTTCTTCACCTCTATTTACCAACGTAATTTACTTGGGGTCAAGTCAAGCTAGTTGAATTCATCTCAAACAACTTGCAGACTCTAATATTGTCAGTTTTTTTTCTTTCAGAGCTTGAAAAAATAGCAACAAATTGAATTTTAAAGATTGAAATAATGATCTATATTATAGTGTGTTTTAATCTTTTTTTTTTTACCCAGGTTATCACAGTGAGTGAAAGACATCGCCTCGCCCAGCTGTTCCAGACGTTCCACCACGACGTGTTGACAAGACCAAGCAGTCCAATCAGCCAGCACCACACAACTGCCGCCTTCAAACTAAGCTTCCCTGCTCTTTCAGACGTTTCACATCATTCCCTCCAAAAGAACATGACATCACGCAAGCAGGAGGCAGGAAGGATTCATCTGGAGATGTACGTCTGGATTGAAGTCACAAGAATTGATGCACTATGCGTCAGAATATGATTTACCAACAATCATTAAGAGTTAAAATGCGTATAAACAAATTCCCGTTATCAATGACTTATTGGTAAATGAAATGGGTTACGATATTATGCCAAATATGGGATCTGATTTACCTTCTAAAGTTACGGAAAAGTATGGAAAAGTAACCTAAGAAATGAATGCCAGATATCTATACATCCGCTGCAAGGTGTATGACATTCTATGCCCCGGGGTTTTTTTTCTACGCCCCTCTGATATTCACATCCTTAGCAACTTGTGTAAGAACACTGCGACCCAAGAACCTTAGATCTATATGTCAGACTAGTTTAGTGGGGGAAACATGCACATGCACTTTGAAAGCTAAGGTATAGGATTACAGATTTTGTTTCTATAGGAAATTAGATATCAGATACAATATCTTTGATATCTGAACACAAAGCTCCAAATAATTGAGACAAACACATCACATTACAGAAATGCAATGCGACAAATCTGGGTTTATTGAATTATCTTCTCTCTCACCTTTACCTTTCTGAAATATCGCCCTCCTCACCCCTACCCCTCTCCCACTCCTCGAACAGACATGTGCGCCCCCCGCCACACACACACGCTCAGAAACACACCACTATATTGAACATGATAAAGAAATACGTCTAGCTGTGACATACCTGATACTGCCATAGTAATATGTGTCACGACGCGGTGGAATCAGGCGCTCGTCAACCTTTGGCCACATTGATTTATTGGTATAATCTTAAAGCCTATTCAGTTGCCTTGCTTCCGGTAGCCTGGTAGCAAACATAGAAATTAGTGAGAAAATGGCAGCCAACGTTTGGTAACTTTCAAAGCTTAAGTGTCCCTGGGAACTGCAAATTTACATTCATTTATTTTGTTGGTGCCTTTGATCAACGTTTTACCTGTAAAATCCACACAAAAAAGGGGTTTTAAACCAATATTAAAGGTGTTATGCAAATACAGAAAAAATGAAATTTGATAAAAATTGCCCGACGAATTCATTATTTTGACGAGCGCCTGCTTTCACCTCGGTACCACCTATGTATCAAATGATAAACAATATAAACGCTTAGTGTGTCATCGGTTCTTGCCACCGAGCAGCGCTTCTTTCTGAGATGAGGTCAACGTGTCTTGTTCAAGGATATACGGATTAAGATCAGTCATTTGACAGTCCCCCGGTTCCCTCCCCTTTCCCTCTCCAACTATGGCGTTACTTCCTATGTAAGACTGTGGCCCTCGATAAGTCTTGCACACTTTTCTTTTTTTTTTTTAAGCAGCCTGCCGTCTAATATTACTATTATACTTGCAGATAGCTTCGCAATATTCTGTTCAGCTTTGCATGGAGGGGACCCAGATAAATCACATCTTTAAGAGCTTTGATTAGTTTGCCTTGTGTAGGCCATTCTGCGGAAAGCTGCATCAATCTTGCTCAGATAGGCTCTCAAAAAAGCGTCATGACTAGCAATCTGCTAAAGTCAAGGAAGCAAAAAATTATGGTTAGTAGCACTGTTGCATGATGCATTTCAATCTAGGAGCAATTCAGCTCTTTCCGGTAACAAAAACGATAAAGTAAATTCTGATAATGAAAATAAAAACTGTTACAAGTTGTTCTGTCCCTAGTATGCAAGGGGAAAGAAAGACGCGTCTGAGATCAGCATGCTGCCACCTCTGGTCGATCAGAAGCCGGTCGTGCTGGGGGTAATGGGACCAAGATCTATACAAAACCTAGACGGGTTTACCTGTGCCTTGACAGACAGGCAGGCAATGAACAGAGAGATGTTATTGATCAAAGCACACTCACATGTAACTCCTTCCAAACCCTTCCATTGTACCCATGGCGACAACCCCCGCTCTCCTCCTTCTCCTCGTTTTCGATTATCAGGTAGAGGGGTCGTGAAAATTTACCTTCAACGCGGCTGTTGCAGTATCGAAAATATTTTAATCCTTCACGAAACATACCATGTTACCTATTGTTGTCTGGGTGATAACGTAAACGCTTTTTGAAGTGGCGATCAATGACTATGAATAAAACAACAGGGTTTAAAGGGACAGCTGACATTTCCACCAGAGAGAAATCCGCAACTGTGGAAAAAAACATGTCTCAGGCCTCAAATACTGTCAGTTCGTTTTACATTCTTTTTTTCATGAAATATTTTAGTACAAAGTAAACAAAACAGAGGTAGGTTCAAAAGTTCATATTTTTCGCCAACAAACCACCTTTCACACTGTCTGTTTTGTCTGTCTGTCTGTCTGTCTGTCTGTCTGTCTGTCTGTCTGTCTGTCTCTTCTCTCTCTCTCTCTCTCTCTCTCTCTCTCTCTCTCTCTCTCTCTCTCTCTTGATGTGTGTGGGTGATAACAATATGTGGAACTGTAAGAAACTGTCTTGCTGTGAGTGCCGTCTTTCTAACTAACAATTTGAAAACAAATGTTATCGTCCCACTTATAGAGAAATATTATTTTCTCAGTATGGAATTCTACTTCACTGCGCATATTCTTCAAAATTCGACCTTAAAATAATGGTATGTGGCGAAGCTAGATAAGGAAAAAAAATGGTTAAATAGAATCCCCCCCCCAAAACCCCCCCCACCACCCTTCCCTCCCT